TATCTTTCTTTTATAATTCTTTAATCTTTTTTTTTTATAACAAATGATGATTTAATAAAACGGATGTTCATTTTACTCTGACATGACTACTAATTGCCTATTCATATGAATAATATATATTTGGTATCCAATTGTATTTCGTATTCGTATAATTCTATTATTATTCACGATCACGTAATCTTTCTTCATCGAATACCAATTCACGATTAATAATTTGCCATTTCAGATCGCTAAGAATCATGAATATTGATGCATCAGTATTTGTCAATGTTCATTTATCATAGCTGTCGAGATTTTAACGAGCTGGCTTTTCTTTTTGTCACAACAGAACAGTACAGTAACAATGGCCTTTTAACTATTTTAAATGTGCACCGAAAAAAAGAGCAACACGCTGTTATGTTTATAGTACGGGGAGATACGAAGAGCTAAAATCTATAAAAGACGTACAGCAAATATTTGTTCAAACAATGTTCGTCCTCGATGTCTAAAGCTTCAAGCGATCGAAAAGAATTAAAAGAAACAGTGCACGGGTAACTTGCTTTTTAGTAAAAAAATATATATTTTTCTGCGAAAACTATATTTATTCTTACCTTGATATCGTCCGTAAAACTTTATTATCTTTATATAAAGATGATTCAGGAAGACTGTATTAAAAAATAGTACTTTTACAAGATTTCTCTAGTGTTACCTGATTACATGATTACTGTTTTCTGGATCTTGATTGATAACTCAATCAGTCAGATAATCAAAGAATCGCATTAACGGAAATGAAATTGCGTGAAAGTGTGTTGCGAACACGAACTGTCCGACAAGTTTATCGATTAACCAACCAACAAATTGAATGATAGAAACGTGGTAGAGAGAATGGGCAATGAACGAAGTTTCAGAGAATATTGTCGGTTGAATTAACTTGTTTATTTAAATGTGCCGCCGAACAGTGATCTCAGTTTGCGAACTATCATTTCCATTGTTGAGTAGAACATTGAAGAATAATCGTTGAAACATATCATTTTACGCAGTGGTTTAATTCGTGCAATTAATCTTATCGAATTATGAAGAGAAAGAAGAAAAGATACGAGACGAAGAAATAAGGAGAGCAACGTGAGGAAATTTTTTACATAAGAAGAGAAATTGTTTGGATATACTTCTCACAGAATGTATTGTATAGTCAGTATACACGTTGAAACAAATCTCTTTATAATTTATGCACTTACGGCTGTAAATTATCGGATCTTTTATCAAATTTTATTAAGATTTAAAGTAAAATGCATTGCTGAATTAAAATTCACGAGTATTCAATTTTTACAATGAGAAAGATGTATAATGCAAATTATATATACATACGTGAAAGATCTTGTCAAAAAGTGATGAACTAGAATAACGTCAATATGACGGCTTTCGGAATTTCTTTTTTTTTTTTACAATTGTTTAAAAGATACGGACATTTTTTTCAGAACATATATAACACAATTACACAATTGTATAACTCTATTTTAATTATTATCAATTGAATAATAATGATTTATATGTTGAATATTTCGAGACTGTTTTAGTGTTGATTTTTTTCATCAATGTATTCTCCTTCGTGCGCGTGAACCACCAGAGACATTCTTTTTATTCATTCCCTGAAAAATTCTGGCGATATTTTTCCCCAAGCTCCTTTCGTTCATAAATCTTTCTTTGATTTCGAACGCTTTTTCCTTGTTCTCCTGCTTTCCTTTACTCTTCAATGCATAATTTTTTAAAGAGGTTCAAGCTTGGCGATTGCGAAGACCATATATTATGCTTCATAATTTTGACTCGTTACGCACGTACGTATGTTGTTAATTTTGTGTTGAAATATTATCGTAAATTGTATCTTTAATCACTAAGTTCTTTAATTAGTAAAGAATCTTGGCTGTGTTCCAATTTTGTTAAAAGGGTATTTTATTCCCGTGATGTTGAATAAAGAATTGACAGAAATAAAAGTCTCAATGCGGTGGTAACAAAAAAAAAAGATTAATACTCTTGCTCTCACAACTCTCTCTCTCTCTCTCTTTATTCTCGATTCTCTCTTTCTCGAATTCCCTTTCGATATGCTTCTCGAATCTTTCATGCACATGAACACTCATACCCTTAATATTCCAAGTCCTAAGCCTGGAATAACTAAAACAAATATGTCCAGGCTTAGCCTTCGTCGTAATCATCTCAAGTGACACTCTGCAGGCGACAATTCCTTTTCCTAGATTTTCCTAACTCACAATATTGACAATGCTAAAACTCCGTTTATATGAATTTTCTGTATGTTCATGCGAAATCGGGGAATAAATTGAAATAATATATTTTCTCTTTTACTGCTCGCTTCCCGCTGATACAATAGGAATTCAGATTGAAATAAATGATTACAATCAGCAAAAGTTCATTTAGCTCCGACGCTGATTAAAATTTCGTTCAAATAAAGGACTTCGTGCAAATGGAACTCCACTACGTATGATAGAGTTGAAAAATAATTCGTCATCTCAAAGCACGTATTTCAGCGTCGACGCCACGCGACAAAACCAACGATAAGGAGAATCGATAATGCGCAAGTAAACTGAAATTGACGATACAGTGTCGGGCACGTGCATCGCGATACGTTTCAAACAAGTGTATAGGGATAATGCAATCGCAGAAACACGTAATTTTCTCGCCGACAGTTCTTTCACAGTTTCGTGAACAAAATGAAGCCGCACGAGAAAAATTGCCATCGTATCGCGTTGAATGTACCGTGATTTCCAGCGGCCAACGAGTTCTTTTCAAGTTTGCGCGACGAATCAAACAGCTTGAAAAGATTGAAAGAGGTTGAGCGGGCACGTTTATGATTTCTCGAGTAGTAATCATTGTTGTCTATGCACCGCCGGGGGGGCACGTGACGCGATTATACTTAACTGTGAAACGTATGGTTTCGCCGATGTAAAACATTTCGCGTGGATAATCAAATGTGAGTAAAAACATGTGGTTCAATTTCTTTCTGATTGGCGGAAATTGTGCGTGATACGTGACGAAACTCGCGTACTCGGCTTAGTACAGTACGACTCGCAAAAGGATTCGCACAATCAGCATAGAAGGCTTTCGTTTGCAGATACATAAATATTCGGGCAGTAAATTCTCGATTTCTGAGAGATTGTTATCGAAGAAAGATAGGGACAGTACTCTTGTTCTTGTTTTTAATGCATTGCCAGATTTTGTAGAATCAATGTCATAATATCTCTTCGATTAATAATTTTTCGACATACCTAAATTAATAGTTTTTGTTGTAGCTTGTCGAGCTATATCGATTAACAATCAACAAAAACTGTATCATTCGACTTGAAAAAAGGTGGAAACGACTTTGGAATCTTCGAAACTCTTCGAATTGTAAAAAAATTATTACTACTATATTACGTATATTACTTTTTGTACTGAATAACTTTCATTAGCAAAAATTTTTCATTTCTCCAAAAATTTGAAATAATGAAGTTAAGTATATATTACATATTAAGTCATCCCATGAGCAACGCGAGCCTTGTATTATATGAAAATAAAAATAACCTGTTAGCGATGATGAAGCGACTTCTATCTTTTATAATTCATTATCTTTTTCTATCGAGTTTATTTGTTCGAGTTTTTTTTAAATTTCGACAGTAGCAGCATTAATTATTTTAATTCCAGAAAATCGTATTTGCGGGACGATTCAATAGTTTGCTTTTTTGAGAACTTTAAATTTCCCAAAAATGCATAAATACTTCAACATTCTAAATAATGTATTTTTTATTAAATGTAATCCTTTTTTTTTAAATAGTAATGGTACTTTTTTATTTAATCGCCCTTTTTCTGTAAAATCCATAGTTAATAACAAAAGACCACTTATTCGATTTAGAATGAACCTCTAAAGTTGTTCGAAAAATATCGTGCTCGCAATTACATAATAGCTTTGTTAACCTCGATCTTTTTTAAGAGCAATTGTACTACATTATAATACTCGTACGTCGTACGCCTACAAGTGATTTAAAACGATCATAAATGAATCATATATACATATATATACACACACATATATGTCGACACTTGTTGATTGCGCGATGTTTAAATTAACAGTGGAGAGGCTATATATAAATACAAAATTAAACGCGAATGTTTACATGACAGAGTATCATACACGTAAAAAAAAAAGACTCTCTTCTCTCATATTATGACGTCAATGCGTGATATTTGTTTCGACTTTATTTATTATGCGCGTCAAAAGAATGAAATTTTAAAATTTCAATTCTTTTCTTTGATCTTGACAAACGATCTTGCAAATTTTTATGCGTTTATGAATAATTAATTGTAATATTTACATTTAATCATTTCAATTTACGTATAATCATATAATCAAATTGTGCAATAAAAGACAGATATTGTTTCCCAGACAGAATTCAATATATCGTACTGAAATTTTTATTAACATCTCGAAAGCTAGAGAGTACCTGGAATTAAAATTTTATATTTAGAGTCCTGCCTCTCGGAATTTCATGGGAAACTGATGACTCTTATAATTGTAATTTAAATGATATTTAAATTAACGAATGAATCAATTCTTTGCGATTGAAATTTGAACGATTGAAATTTATGAACAACTTAAATGAACGTTCATCCTCGTTGATTTAATTTTTATCAGCGACATTGGCACTAGAACTACCGACGATTAAAGCATAAAATTTCCATCCAGAGACATCGGAGTGAAAAAAAAATAGAGAAACTTTATAATACAAGCTTTTATTTGTATATTTTAGGAAAAATTATTGAAACCTCAAAAAAATACGCTGTTCCACGTCTACAATAATATCTAACACTTTGACCACTGTCGATAGTTCCAATGTCGAATCCAAGATGAAATATATCTCTGCCAATTATGACTTCACGCAACACCAATCAAATCTAACTTGTTATCTCGTTTTCATGACATCAGCGTCGATCCCGTACGTCACAAACGCAGTTATAAACGGAAGATCGCACGAAATCGCGACAGTTCTCGGTTCTTAGATATCCTCGCCAGTGTGTCAGCTGACAACTGATAATATATGTATATCTCTCGATCGACCAAGTTCCAAATCCGATTCAGATTCGACAATGGACCCGTTGACGTTAAGCCTGACTCTTGTGCTTGGCTTTCTCCTCATCTATTACTACCTGTGGAAATCCATGACTCGTTTCAAAGAGCTCAATGTCCCGCACAAGACACCGATTCCGATCATAGGAAATATGGCGCCGACGGTGTTCCGTAAAGCTTCCATGCACGAGTGCTTGGAAGACCTATACCATCGTTTCCCAAACGTCAAGTACTTCGGTGTGTATCACTTCGTGACACCGGTGATAGTGATCAAGGATCCGGAGCTGATCAGCTCCATTGCCGTGAAGAATTTCGACAATTTCACCGATCACGTGACCATCATGGACGAGAAGATAGACCCTTTGTCGGGCAAGGGTCTGTTCTTCCTTCGCGGCGACGCTTGGAGGGAAATGAGAAGAATACTCAGCCCCAGTTTCACCGCCAGCAAACTGAAGACCATGTTCCACCTGATCACCGACTGCGCCGACAAGTTCACGCGATTCGTCGCGGACGAGGCGAAACAGGGACGAACGTACGAGATGAAGAACATTTTCGGCCGATACACCAACGACACGGTGGCTAGCTGTAATTTCGGTTTCGTGACGGATTCGATGAGAGATCCGAAAAACGAGTTCTACTCGTTCGCGAAGAAAACGATCGATTTCATGTCCTCGGTGTCGCTGAGGCTCATCGTGGGCAACAATTTCCCATTGCTGTTCAAACTGCTACGGACTCAAATGTTTAGCGAGAGCGCGCGTCAATATTTCACAAGCGTCGTCGACAACGTGGTTAAAGCGAGGAAGGAAAAGGTGAGTGTCGAACGATTGGAAAACGGGACCCGATAGGTGCTTGGGACTCTGAAATCAGTTCGGTGCCCTCGCGTTAAATCGGGAAATACGAATAATGAACATCTTGGTTTTCAGTTGAAGGTTTCTCGATAGTAATTTGGATGTGTCTTGGATTAAGAAAATAAGTTAGACTTGAAAATTGAAAATTCGAAGAACCTGACGAACGATTATTAAGTGGAAACTCTTCTTAAAGAAGAACTTGTTATAAAAAAATTTGTTGTTAGACAAGAACTAACTAAAAAAAGGCATCGAATTCATTTCTTTACGTAATAATAACTTCTTGCCACGTAACGTAAAGTCACGTTCAAAGTAGATTATATCTATAATTATCTATAAATAATGTATAAATTGAGTATATTATACCTATAAATTATCTATAAATAATATAATCTATAATTATGAGCTGACCAATTCCACTATTTGAACTTGTTCGTCAATTTTAGTGCTAAAATTGTTTCATTCCATTTATATCGCAGTTTCGAAGACATTCGAGTGTATCGTATTTAAATAGCTCAATCTATGCATCAGAGTGCACAATTTTCTTTTTCTCACTCGTTAAAAATCGTTTCGATTCTGGCTATCTATTCTCCAAACTGCTGTGTCCAAAACAGGGGATTCACCGACCAGACGTGATGCAGATGATGATGGAGTACAAGGATGCGGATGGAAATTGTCTAACGATCGAGGAGATGACCTCCCAGGCCTTTGTTTTCTACGCTGCTAGCTACGACACGATATCCACCATACTCAGTTTCGCCGCGCATGAAATTGCCATGCATCCGGAAGTACAGGCGAAACTGCACCGAGAGATCGAAGAGGTGGTTGCAAAGACCGGTGGGAAGCCCACCTACGAGGTTCTAAAAAATATGCAGTACTTGAACGCGGTGATCAACGAGACTCTCAGACTGTACGCTGTGATCCCGTTTTTGGATCGGGTGTGCGTGAAAGAGTTTCAACTTCCTCCGGCAACACCTGGAGGGCAACCAGTCACCGTGAAGCCAGGGGACATCGTCTGGTTCCTCTCGTTTGCGCTTCAACGCGATACAGAATATTTCTCAGACCCGTTGAAATTCGATACTGATCGAGGTTTGTCGCCCATCGAGTCTTCTCAGGCGACTTACATGCCGTTTGGACTTGGTCCTAGACTCTGTATCGGCAACAGGTTTGCTTTACTGATATGCAGAGTGATGTTGTTCTACTTGCTGTGGCGGTGCGAGCTGGAAACCTGCGAGAAGACTTCAATCCCAATGAAATTCAGTGGCAAAAGCTTCGTGCTGATGGCGAAGGAGGGATTGTGGCTGAAGCTACGGACTAGGGAGACGAAGACGAGCCGCGAAAACAACGAGACGGCAAACAGAATTAATTAAGCGCGAGAATATCACTGCGGGTCCAAAGGTCCAGCAAGGATTTTCGAGAATGCGTTTTTTTTTTTTTTATGTTTGATAGAACTAGTTTAGTAGTCTTTGAAGAAGTAAAAATGAAAAATTTTATAATTATTTTTATAATAGAAATAAATTCTTTCGTTTATAATCTCCAAATTCTTCTCATTTTTTACAATAAGACGACTGTGTGACGAAGTTCAATGAACGATAAAAGCTTCGTATCGATGCTTTTAGCGAAAGAGGGATGATGGCTGAAGTTTCGAGCTAAGTTCTTCAAAGGTAAATCATAAAAGTGACCAGAAAACGGAGTCAATATTGATTCTTTCGTTTATAATTTCTAAATTCTTCTCGTTTTCGTAATAACAAAGTGCAGAGACCTGTTAAACTCCAGTGAAACTTAATGGTAAAAAGAGATATGGAAATTCCGAGCTAAGGATATCTTATCTTTCAAAGATAAATCACGGAGACAATCAGACAACAAACAGAATCAATTAGACGTGATAATACTGGCAAAACAAAACCGAGAGAAACTTTTCGAGATTGCCCGAGCGTTTCCTGATGCATATCTCTTTGAAGGTGAGTGTGTTATTTTTTTTTTTTTTTGTGCACATGGTAACACAGAAGGACAGAAGAAATTGAAGGCGAGGATGAAATTCCCTACTGACGAACGTTTGCATGCAAAGTCATTACTTCGTAACATCGTTGCGTGTGTAACTTTAAACTAGTTTCATTACGTCTATCGTGACAGAGCTCGCTAAAAGCGAGGGAAAAATGCGCTTGTCCTTAACGGTGATTTGTTAGAAAAAATCAGAAGTAACAATCTCGTAATGTTGCTAAACAATTTCTTGCTACGAAGTTCAACTACTTTATTTATCGCGTCGAGTTTACTTGCGTCTGTCAAATATCTGCGAAAATTGCAAAAAAACGCTACTACGCTATTTGAATTATTTGGATTGTTTATTAGTAAAAGGCAAATGAACTGGTAATCGAAAGATCGATTCCTAGAAGAGCAAATGTAATTTTTGCGAGTTATCCCCCCCTCTCCCTTCAAGTCTCATTTTTAAGTAATCGTTGATCGACTCATTTAGGTAATTCAGTTTCGCAGAAAATGTATGTACACGTTTCAAGTTTACTAATTTTTTTTAAAATTCCCTATTTTATAACGTTTGACGATTTCTTTTGTACGAAATACTCTGTACCTCCCGCCGGTCATTTAGATTTAGTATCATACGCAAGTTTTAATGTTTCATATGTCTTCAAGGAGACTGAAGATTTTCAAGAAAATTTAATTTCAAGATTCATATGTCTATCATTAAAATGTTACACACGTACGTATAATAATTAATACTTAATATTAATAGATAATAATTAATACGTCGCGATGTTTTACTATTTATTGTGAGAAGAATTGCCATGCGTGACGAACGATTGAACACACCAAATGCACGTTTACGGGTACCAATTACAAAAGACAAACAGTTACGAGAATATTCCGTTCTTTGAAAGTGCGTCAATGATGTTGCACTGTGACAGAAAAAAATTTGAAAAGAAAGAGTAGATATGATGAGGCAATATATACGTATACGGAATTTGGAAGCAAAAGGGATGAAACGTAGACTATTGGCCCTCGGATGGCAAATGGATTCTAGGAACGTGCAAGGCTGAATAATTCAAACGGACCAACAACAGCTTTCCAAATACGAAACATCTTAAACGTGACGTTTTTATATTTACAAACGTATGTCTCTTTTCTTAAAGATAACATCTGTATTAATTGTTATTGTCAGGAATCCGTTATTATTAATAAGGATGGATTTCAGCATTCGCTGGATGAAAATTAACCATCTGTTTTAGTAATTTTCTTTAAAACATTCGCTCGAGTTTTTTTTATTACATCTTCAGCTGTATCTCGAGATTATATCTCGGGTTTATGTCGGAAGATACATTAGGATAGATTAGGAGGTACATGTTATAAGCGGATTACATATACAGCGGAGAAAAGAACATTTGCTATCACTGATTTGTTAGCGAGAATGCATGATATATTATCAGATCGAGTTAACCGGATTTTACACGGTTCACTTTGTTCCACATGGTGTCCGAGTTAATTCAAATTGACGAGAGTGTATATATATCTACATTAAACAGTCTGTGTATACTTTTATACTTTATAATAATTAATAAAACGTTAATTGCTAATAATAATAATTGATAAAACGTCAATTGTTATTAAATGCATTCAACTTCTCATACAATCTCATACAAACTGCTGAAAATTGAGAATAAACTGATCCTGATCGTTCAATGGAATTTCTTTTTCGAACGAAATTTTCTGCTTGGGAATCCACTATCGATCAAGCGGCAAATTCTCAGTCGCGTTTAATGAAATATTAATCGAATATACCAGGACAACAGGGAGGATGTAGTTCTAAATTCTGCTGCATTCATTAAGGGACATCACTAGGGGAATTATGGCTTACGACCTGCCATATCCCTTCGACCGATATCACAGTTGCAAGTCTTCATTTTCGTCATACATTATTCAAATGTTTCACGTTTCTTGGATCACCCGATATATACCGTTGCTTTATTAATACCGCACGGTCTAGTGGAACGATCAAATTATGTACTCCCTGCCAATTGATATTACCATGAAATCTGCATAAAGCGCGCTGATTCCACACTTTGCGTGCACGATTTTGTCGGCACTTGAAACAAGATTACGAGAAGCTCATTTACACGACTAGACCGTGACCTGGTAAAGAGAGGGAGAGAGAGAGAGAAACGGAGAGAAAGAAGAAGAAGAATGACGGAGAATCGTGAAAGAGGTATTTGCCAAAGTATCGATGTAAAAGTATCTGAACACGTTCAACGAATATCGCTCGTATCGCATGCTTGTGAGACTGACACGTTTCACATTGAATTATTCATTAAAGGTCTGGTGGTAAAGATTAACGAGACGCCTGTTTCCCTTTCTCATTTTTTTCGTTACCGAAGAACGAGCAAGCAAGAAACAGAAATAAAACAGTGCATGATCGATTGTTAATGTTTCACGCGTTACATTCGTTATTTGAATTCGTTTCTTTTTTTTTTTTTTTAATCGATTTAAGTTTTTTTGTAGAGAAAAAAAAATTCGCAGATAAAAGTTTTCATTAGAGAAAAAAGTTCTTTCATTCTTCATTTTCAAACCGTCCTTCATTCTCCTATGTTTTTATATATATAATGAAACGAGATTTAATGACTGGCTTCTGAGCACTAACAGTACTTTTTCTTTCATTCGAAATATGTCTTTCAATCCTCACCAGTTCTGCAAATGTTTATTTTACAAAAAGAGTAATTATAAAAGACTTGGCGTTCTTTAGTCGGAAACTTTTACTGTAGGAAAAAAAGGTTTTTTCATTTTTCTTCATTTCTGTAACTTTCCTATTTTTTATAATAATTGACTTATTATTTTTCTTATTCATTTCCTGCATTAATATTTTCACTTTCTGTTTTTTTAACATGTGTTTCCTTCGGTTCACTAGTTTTTCAAATATTCGTCTGAGAGAAGTAAAAATAGAAGATATTTCGTATCAAAATAGAATAAACCGCGATTTTTTTATTCACACCAAATGAATCACATTGCCGCAAACTATCGAACAACGTTCGTTCCTACGATCAATAAATTCTGTTTACAGATTTATATTGTGCGCAACGTACGTAGGTGTTGTAACTTACATGCACATAAAAACGTTTACGGTCTTGTGTACACGTGCTTGAAATACATGCGATTAAAGCAAAAGTATTTTTTGTGGCAAGTTAGCATGAACCAGAGATTGGTTTTCCAAAGTTACGAGTATTTTTATTGAACGAATAATGGAAAAAATTATTATATGAATATTTTGTTAACAACAAATCTAGTAACTTCTCGGGAAAATCTCGCATTATATCAACGCATATAGAACTTTTTCATGTTTTTTCTCATGAGACTTGTCAGTATATTTTTAAATAGCTCAATTTTTTTTTTTTTTTTTGAAAGTTGTCAGTATATTTTTAAATAGATCAATTTTTTTTTGTCCACCAATTGATATATTACGTATTTTTTTCTTTCTCAGTTCAAAGTTTCGTCAATTAAAAGTTTTCTCAACTAAAAGCATCAAAACACACACACTTGTGATGTTGCAGCTTCAATTCTATCAAATTCGAGACACGAGAGAGGAAATAACTTTTTCAGATACTGAAACGGTAAACGGAAATGATGTAGATGCATTTTACTTCGATAATTCAAAGCATGAAAAAGAATGTAACTCTGCAGCATATACGCCAAAAGAAAGTTAAATAATTCAAAGGCTAAAAAATATATAACGTTCTGAAATATGAGAATAAACTAACAATTTTCTTAATTCTCACTTAGGTATGCGCAATTTAATATAAAAAGAATTGGATATTCTATCAGCAAAAAAATCCCATTAACCGAACATTTTTCACTTCCTATTTACAAATATTTGAGGTTTTTCTATACTTTTGCACAATAGTGTATATTTATGAGAAGAGCGAGGCTGATATATATATATATATATTTTTTTTCTTTTTTGGCCTGTTTCGACGATCCTCAAGGAGGTGATGGTTCATTTTTGTACTTTATCACGACCGAGTCTAAATAGCTTCGATGAGCCGCATTAACCTACATTCTCCTCCTATTGCGATAACACTTTCGTTCTTCTGCAATGACCTCTTTTTGCTCGCGATATTTTCACCGAGAAGAAACTGCAAATTGTTCGCTCGCAATTGGGAATTACGCGTTCGTTTTTTTTTTTCTTTTCTTTTTTCTAATCAGTATCCTAAAGATTTCAGAGGCTAGAATTAGAATCTTCGTCCAAACTATGTATAAAATATATATAAGAAAAGAAAAACAGCCAATAATTCTAACAGAATGAAACAGAATAATTTTCATTTTACGTGTCACATTAATCGCAATTTTTAAATCCGTAATACTACGTGTGTAACTTAGTAAACAGAATTGTTTGTTAATTTCCAAATTGAAGTAAGTGAGGCTATAAATTATTGTGTTTGTTCTTTTTAATCAATATCAGAAACATAAAGCACAACAAAATCGCAGAGGAAATAGACTGAAATTACTTTTCACCTGTAACATATATGAGAAAAAAAGGATTTTTATCGGCTAGTATTTCTAGCATGCAGGTTTAAAAACTCTAGGAAAATATCTACATTCAATCGTATAGTATAATCGATCGATAGTATCCTGAAAGATTCATGAAACTAAACTATAAAACTAACAATAAGTCCATCAACAGCAACACAGCTACGTCTCTCTCTCTCTCTCTCTCTCTTTTTCTCTCTCTTTCTCGAGATTCTTAACGCACAGCAGTTAGATCGAAAGTTTATCTAAGAATCTAGATTCTAGATTCTTAGATTCTGGTTTCTAGATTCTCAGTCGCTGATTTCTAGATTTTTAGACGCTGAGGATTTTAATTTCTAGATCTCTAAAGAAGAATCTACAATAATCTAGAAGAAAAATCTAGAAAAAGTCTAGGAAAAAATCTTTCTCATTACTTTAGGCATATCCTCTTTTTATACCCTTGCAATCCCTGGCTCAGATGACGTTTCAGCTTTTCCCAACGCCTCGATTTTTCTCCAGTACCTGACTCTTTGATCTGACCTCGTTCGGTCACTTATAATTAAACGACACCATAATTAAACTACCACTAGAGCTACAAGCTTAAAGCTACAATATTGAAAAATTCTTGACAACACAAATTCATGCTGTTATATGTATATATAAAAATATATAAGCATTACGTAATGTACTTATTCACATGCGTAGAATTGACTTATCGTTCACTTGAACTGTCAACAATTTTAAGGCGAAAGATATTATACATCAATGTATAATAGTTTTGGGAGGAGGAATTCCAAGAAAATTCAACTCCTTTTCTATCTTATCTTTAACAATTCCTAATTCTGCTCATTACCTCGATCTTTCCTAACTCATCATCGATCAAGTCTCCCATTCCATAATTTTCTATTTTCATCAAATTCGTTATGCAGCCACGTTTCTTCGAAAATATCGTGAGATTTTGTCTAGATTTGCCCTCGAATACACGTCTGTTACACGCTACATAATTTCCTCAGAGTTCCCTATCTTGTACGATAGTGTGTGGTGGTTGTTATAATAAGACGAACTAAACAAGATCAACGATGTATTCACATTTTTGACGCAGATACTTCATTATTAGCCGTAACATTTGCTGGCATAACTAGCAGCAACGAACAAGTTCTTCGATCCCGGGCACTTTTCTCATCATGACGTTAACTAAGGATAGAAGCATTTGTGACGATTAAGATAAATGAAACATCCTGCGCAATATAGCCGTACACGTGCTATTAGAGGTTCGTGGATAAGTAAGGTTCGTGACCGGAATAGGGAACGATACGATCTATCTAACTATACCGATAATGAGCACGATGACGTTTCAAGAAACTGATACTCTGGCTGAAAAATTATTGGCTTCCCGTGGACCGTTATTGTCCAGCAGGTTATCTCTTGTCAGTTGGTGCTCTTGTGTAATTGAATTGGCTCTTACGATGGTAGTCGTTTGCACTCTTTTCGATGTTTCTAACATTAACCAAAATGGACAATTTATGACCAATTTATAATTTTTCGTTAGAAATTTTGTAGATGTATGTTTGTTTGCGTATTTCATTATATTTTAAAGTTTTTCTATTCTTTTTTTTTTTGTTTTTCCTTTTTACTTTGATGAAAATTCTATGTTTCAATCGTCGTTCTAATCTTAAATTTATAAACTACGAGATGAAAGATTCATTCAAATTAAAAATTCGAGAGCAAAAAAGAGTGGCAATATCGACAAAATTCACCTCGGAATTTACCATTGTTTGAAGTCATCGTTACACGACAGACTCTAACAAAAACTGTTCCTTTTGATGTTTCTAAATTTATAATAAAATCTAAAAAAACCCCCGTTTTTCGAATATCTCAATGCCACCTATTATACATTATATTTGCAGTCTTCTATTTTAGTGATGCAGCGTTTAAATATTATTCTTTTTCTCTCTTCTATATTCATAACGCGTTAAAAATTGTCGAATGATACAAAAAAATATGAACATGTTGAAATATTAAATAATCAATATATATATATATGAACATGTTAAAATATTAAATATTTAATAAATATTTAATATTTCTCTTATTTATTATTTAATATTTATTAAATATTCAATATATATTTACTATATGTTAAAATGGGTATTAAATATTTAATAAATATTAATTAAATAATATTTAATAAATATTAAATATTTAATAACCAAGAAAAAAAGAAAAATTCGTGAAGACGGATATCTTGACGAACGAGGCGGCGTATCGAATTTCATCGTACCGTTCTTTCTTAATTTTCAGAGTGGTAGCAGCAGCAACAATGGCGCTGGTGGCATCAATCTGGGACCAATGGTCGGAGGTCGACGGTTACCCTCGCAGCAATCGTTTCACTCGTCAAAGAACAACCATTCTCATCACTCTCGGCATCAGACCACGTCCGCGCCGCCATCAACGCCACGGAACGCTTGTCAGCTACCCGAAATAGGAACTCGCTGTATACGTAAGTATACAATACGCGTGTATCTTTTGTACATACCTATATGTACAAAATATAGGTACATACGTACATACCTATCGTCGTAAGACATCGGCTGAAAAATAACGCACGCTCGTCCGCTGAATAACGTCGCTCGAGAATGAAAAGAATTTTGACTGACGAACAGATTGTTTATAGGTGTGTGTCTCTCCTTTATAAACATGCCAAGTCGCGATCAGTTTGCTTCGGCAGAAGAACAGTATCGTTTAGAATTTAGAACTAGATATATAGGTGCGGTGTTCAGCGATATTCAACGAGAAGCAGCGAGGTCGACGTTTTTAACGATGGAAAAAACGTTACGCCTACGGAAATTTATCGTCGTGTTTACGGACAGTATACAACGATGATACGCTTAATTGAAGTACGGTTAATCGCTGTGCGCTATATAAAGTGTCGTGCATCGGAACCTCGGTCGAGCAAATTTGTGCGATGACTCTCACAGTTAGGGCTGCTATCCGGGTTTGTCCTAGTTTCTGAGGCGTTTAGGGACGACCGTAGTGACCTTCTGTAGTTTCAGATTGTCTGATGTTCACTGCTTATTTGTTCTTTTACACAATGTGTAGATGTTGCGTCGGTGATGTGACAAATGTCGGACATTGCATCTATACCGATAGCAATTCATTTGTTTTTTTTTTTTTTTTTTTTAGAAGCGATTTTTCAGCGTCCAAGCTTAAACGCAGTCTGAATGAGCCATCACATTTTGTGTGCTTAAAACAGAAAAATTTCTTAAAAGCGTCCGGAGTTTTAACGCTTTTAGATTTGTGATTTTGGCAGTGGAAGAGCAGTTTCCGCGACGGGCAAAGAGCCATCATTAAAGTCGATTGTTCCATTGGAGTCAGTTTGGAATTTCGAAAGAAAGATTGAGTTATTCTCGACTGTTATTCGAGAACTGGGTTATCGGAAAATTTGCGTCTGCTGTCGACGCAATAAGAATGTTGTCACCACTTCTTAATCGGACTTCCGCTTCTTTTCACGGCTGGAGAAGATCTTGAAGTATTCTCGTTTCAAGTCGAACGATGAAGTTAAGGCAAAAGTCCTTCGTCAAAAGTAGATCGGCAAAATTCTTCGCTGATGGAATGAAAAAACTTGTCGAACTTGTTGGGAAGAATATATCGGCGAAATGAACGGCGATTACGTAGAAAAATATAGGCTATTTCTTTAGCCCATGAATTGTATTTTCACCTTCTCTTTGTCTCATTTCGATAGCTAAGATACGAAGACGAGCGTGCATTCATTTTCACAGCCGATCCTCGTAAAATAAGTTATAAAATACGCTTGAGTAACTCGCTTGCTTTGGCAAGTAAAATAAAACACGTGAAATTGCTTGCTTGTAATGTATGTACATATGACAGTTGACGTCAATGTTCGAAATTGATCTAACATTCTCTTTGGATTCGCTTTGATTTAATCCCTTTGCTTTGAAGGACATAGGCAATGGAGCTCATCATATCCAAAATCCTATTATCCTATTAAGTCCCTTATCCAGAATCCTATCTAAACTGTTTAAACTTTACCGTTTAAACAGAATATTTAATAACAATATATGGCTTTCCTTGCATTAAATTATTTTACATGTCTTCATAATATGAGATACAAGATTTTATTAAAAAACAATACCGACACAACGTGAGAGATTGTATTTGATACCATGATAAATCAAAATTTCGTTTGTATAAAAGCTTTAGCAATATTGAAACAAACTAATCTAAGTTGTTACTGTAATTAAATCTACGATATTTTGAAGAAATTTTGTGCATTTAATGTCTGATCTCTGTATCAACCTAATAGCTCAACTCTAGTGTAGAAATTCAATGAACTATATCACTAATTTTTTGACTTTGGATTTCTCTGACTTCGGATTTATCGGTAAAAGTGCAGTAAGAATCAAATGTTTCGTCAATGTTGAAGAGAATTCGAGCAAAAACCTATCTATTATACCAGTTAATGCTAGTCGTTTCGTTAAAACGCCACCCAATTGCTGATGATTGCACTATTGAACTGGTCGGCCAAATTATTGACTAAACTACTGGCTGATAATGCGTTTCCACTAAACGAACGATGTATCACTTATTTTGTATCAAATTCAAGTCAAAACAAGTATTCGTTTATACAGGCTAAATTATTACTCGCCAAACATGTTGAAATGATAAAAAATTTTATAAGAAAAAAAGATCAAATGTATAAAGTATACACGTATTCAACACCCATTGAGAATTCGTCCATGCCCCGTTTAAATTACATATTTAATTAATTTACACAAATTAAATTATGAATACGTACAAACATTTCCACAAATTGAATTATGAATACGTACGAAAGTTTGCTCCCATTATCACGTTAAACGACTATGACTTTGTTTAAGTATTTAACTCGTTATCAGAAAATGCTTTTCCAGCAGTAAACTCGTCGGAAAATTTTAAAAATTTTCCAATTTTCCAGTGACTTTGACACTTTATAACTAGAATTTCGTTTACTTATAAAAGAAAAAGGATTATTGTTATTTAATTGTAGTTGTATAATTGAAGAGTCCACGAGAAGAAAGGGGAATATCAATTTTAACAAATTTTGAGTTCAACGTTATGTGCTTCTTATCACTGATCACACGTGAATTAAAATTTTCTGGGCTTTACGCTTATTTTGATAGGTATATGAGAAAATGTGAAACTGTGAATATGAATTTTTCTCTCATGTCTCCGGCAAGTACGTGTAAACGAAATTCTGAAATTTCACGAAATTCTACGTGAAAACGAAGTTTCAATTAACGAAAGTTTGAAGTGCAGTGAGACTTCTCGAGAGTTGCAAACTTCGAGAATTTAAGAATTAATTTCGAACCAACGTCCTAGTGAAAACAGACGGAATGAACATGGTCGTGCAAAGATCGATATGTCGTAATGAAATTCACAGACCTATGTTGAAGTTTCGAAAAATAAAAACTTTCGAAACTTTAATATAGTGTGAATATGCGTCGATAGAGCGTGGTTGTCGATTGCAGCAGAAACTAATTAAACTTTCCATTCATTTTCGTGTTCTTCATGTTTCCGTAATTCTAAAAAAAAAAGAAATACATTAACTACGTTGAAGCAAGAAATTACTCTTATAACAAAATATTTTTCAAATTTGAATCTGCATTTGTTGACAAGACAGTGGCTGCAGCAGTTGTTGCAAACGCGCACGGTTAGTATGAAGAACTAGAATGAAATGGAAAGTTAAATTATTCAAACGTCGGATAATGACGTTGCAGAAATTTCTGCTGACGTTTCGCATTGTCCTTTTCTTCGTCTTCCTTCTTTGCAATTTTTTTTCTTTTTTTTCTTTCATTACAGATATTAGGTCGTCTTCGAGGAACCTCGTATCTACGAGGAATCAGCAGAGTATCACGAAGATGCTGCTCCTCATCAGCACTGTTTTCATTCTTCTCAATTTACCAAGGTAAGCAGTCATTCGTTCAAAAATAGCTAGAATCGCCAATTTTTTCAAAATACATTTTTAAAACAAATGTATTTAATGTTTGTTACGAATTTAGTGGCGATTCATTAATTTCGAAACATCATTCCACTGATATTTTTATTTTGAACGAAAAAAAACTTCTGTTGATTTATGCAGAAATGTATTGTTCGAGACGTAGCGAACAGGTTTCAAACAATTTGAATTATTTACACAGGAACAAATCTAAATGCATGTCCATACTTTGATGAATCAAGCAATCACAATAAATCAGAATAAAACAAGTAAAGAAATAAATGAATTAGACGAAGTTAGTAGTATCCATTGAACATTTTCTTCAATCATCCACAACTCGAAAATTAAGATACGTAAGACACAGGCTCGTACGATATTCTTGCATGATCTCAACATATAGATTCGTCACTAAAAATACGAGAATGCACTTGAGAGAACCACTCTGTATTCTCATGCTATTCATATTTCATTATTCCATTAACGACACTGTGCATATACCACAGATCGTTCACAGGTGAGAGGAAATCGATGAACCTCGTGGTTCCATTTTCTCTTCTGTTACCCTCTAAATTCGTACGTCTCTCGGTAGCATCATTCCTTGACAGCTTGACAAAATTCAATTAACCGGCAACTGAAATTCTTGTTTTCCAGCTACGTGATCCGACTGTGCGTATTCTTCTTCACCTTGGCCCGCAAGAACACGCCGGATTTGCTCTGGTGTTTGCAACAATTTTTCATGCTTCTTTATTACACCAACTTCAGCATCAATTTCTTATTGTACGCGATGTGCGGCATCACGTTCAGGCGTTGTCTGCAACAATTACTGCGCAAGGTACTGAAAAGCATGACCAGGTACCATTGCAATCCCCAAGGATACATATAAGACATTCGAATTTTTGGATTCGCGATTCAACCGAATCGATCTCACAGCGATTTCGTTGGCGTTAAAATTCGACAACGTGAACGAACACGAATGTTTAACCCTATCGTAGCACGTTACTAGGGTTAGACACTTAAACAAACAAAGATATGGAATACGAATTCTAACATATGTATATGACGAATTTCCAAGAATCTTGTCTATATTTTTCGAGTATGTTAAGATTCTCATCAACAAAATGTTGATGAAACTGAGAAGAAACACAGCAAGTTCTGAAGGATCTCTTTAAAGGGGAGACTTCAATCTTCATAGCGCTAGTGGATCTGTAGCGACGAAAAATGTTTTTTCATGTTTTTACAAACGTTTGAATTTTTACAATTTTCGAGAAAAAAAGTATCCTCACTTTTCCACTCGCTGCAAGGTGTAAAATTATCTTTGAAAAAAAAAGAAAAGAAAAAAAAAAAAAGAAGTAAAAACGAACTCGGGACCGCGAAAGCAAAGACTTTACGCTTTAAAGTGAGACCAAGTGGTTCGTTGCGATGATTTCTTTTTCTTACGAAGTTATATAAGTTCAATTGCAATTCATACTGCAATAATTTAGAACTGTCCAAATCCTTATGCACGGTATGTGTTTTTCTACATGTAACATGTAGACCAACATCACGCGATAAATATACATACCGATAACCTACGAAAGGTTAACTTGTTTCTTCAAGTTTCGTAAAACGTGAGTCTCGTAACGCAATTTCGTTCGACTATTCGCGATCAGTTTATTTCGACTGGCAGGGCAACGCGTGTAACGAACGTTGGAGATTATCCAGCGATCTCGACTCGATGAAATATCGACTGTTTTTCTTTGCTGTTGGAAATTCGAAGCGTGAAATATTTGCCGAAAGATTTACGACCACTTGATACTCGATGATTCAATGCAAAATGAAAATGTTTATCGTCGTTAACGATATCGAGGTTTCGCGAGAGAGGCTGTTCGACTTGCATCCACCGATTATTTGGGTTTTTTGAACAAGTGGTGAATGGTGGAGAGAAGAGTGTACAATACAGTATCTCTTATTAATACTTGGACACCACGCTGTTTGAAAGATTATTTGTTCATACATTTTTTATAACGCATCGAATTAATTACTTTGAACATCAGAACAACCAAGTTTATCAATCGTGATGGATTTTAGATTCTTTCTTACAATTTTGTATAAAAAGTATTGATACTTTTGTTAAAATTAATATTGATTTCTGTTTGAACAGAAATTTAATTGTAGTTTAAATTATAACGATTTAAACGTATATTTTAAATCGAAGGCCAGTTGTTCCAACAATTTTTTTTAATATGACAAAACACTGACTGCAATTAACAGAAAATGTAATTTTAACGTAAATTTTTATTTATTTTATGCATGTGGCTTTTTCTATAAGAAGCGGTGAATCAAATAATAAAGTTCAATAATCGCAAAAAGAATTCAGATAACGAGTTTATATTAATTTCGCAGATATATTTTAAACATATATACACTACTGTAACATGAAATTAATGAAACTTCATCACAAAAATTTATGTGCATTGAATAAATTAAAACTGATGTTTCTTCTAACCAAAATAACAAAAGAGCAATTAATTCAATAAAAATATTACAAACAAATGTAGAGAGAAGTCATCTTTTGTATAACACGTTGTCCGAATGCTAATAAGAGTCACTGTACGTGCAATTACTTGTAGAAATTTAAACAAATAAAAAAGAAAGATGAACGTGTTGATCGTACTAATTACAATGGAAATATATACAAGAAATTATTATTTAGATCAAAGTAATTCACAGGGTCTACCTATGTATGTTGTACACGTACACGTAATTGTCTTTTACATGTCATTAGAGAAAGCAAAGAAAGACTTCGAAAGTTTGTACAAAGTTAATTAGCTGTTTCGAATCGATTCTGAATATTAAATAATATGATAATATCAATTACGTAATAATATTCATAACGGAGTATAACCTTTAACGACTCTAACCAGTTAATTAATTTCTAGTCAATTTTTAATAAATGTTTACTATAATCAGAATTTTAAATTTAAGAATTTGCAAACTCAGCGTGAAATTTGTTATTTTGGTAACATTAAGTCTATCATTCTTCGAATTACACGAATAAATATGGATATACGTTATGTGTTAGATGTAGAAATTAATTGCTTTTGCATTGAATTTTAAAACAAAAAATTGGCACATTTACAAAACACGTTGTACCTTATTAAACGGTATGTTCTTTTTAAAATTATAGATTTTTCAATAATAATTTAGATGTACATCTGATTAAGAACGTCTTGACATTTGAAATGTAGAAGTTGAACCGTTATTAAATGAAAATTTCAGTCAAATGAAAGAAGAACTTGTTTCAAAAAATAATTCGAACGATCCCTAATGATCCTTTATTAGAAAAACTAATAAATAAATGGCAAGGCAATTAATTTCTACGAGGCAACTAATATTCATTCGTACAGTTGTAAATTTGCAAATTGTTGAATCACATTCTCCAAATATATTATAAGCTGTGTTTCAACATGTTTAAAACGTTCGAGGCATATATAGCGAAAGAAAATATTTAAATGTCAATATTGAAGATTGAACTTTAACATTAACTTAAATCATAAACTATTTATTTCACGCTGTCGGACAGCACAAAACACCAACGAATTTTCAAAACCAACATGACTATTAATAAGCTATTAATCGATGTTGTCAATACTCGATGCGAAATTACGAGAAACCGTAGTATAATCGGTCGTTTGATAACCCGAAGAAGCAAAGACTATAAAGATAAATATTGTCGTAGAGAAATACCACTTCGATGTCTATTTTGATGAAATTCTGCATGCTCGTCAAATTTTCGCGAAATTGGGAAATCCGCAGACGCTTTATATCGTAATTTACTATCGAACTCCTTTAACACTTGTCATAATTGTCAATGTAAAGAGAAATTGCACGCGTGTGACACGTGTGATCGATGCAAATTTAATTCTTCAAGTTTTATTCAATGTCTGTAACGTCGTATATACATGTAAGATGTTTAAAAAATATGAGACAAATCGTCTTGTATTGATTAACCTACGATAAAAGAAATCGAAATTCTCCTTATTATTTTTCGTGCTAATTGTAAGTCCAGTATGCAAATAATGCTGAACTACATAAGTAATACATTCCCGCTGAAAAGTTTGGAGCATGACATTCGTTTTACGTGAAATGAATTTCGCCAACGATTGAGATGAAATAAATTTTTCTTGGAAAATTGAAATATCGCAATAAGTTATAATATACCGCGGACATTTATGCATTTTTACAAGAAATTTCAAAGTACAAAATTTCACGACATAAAGAGGTGTAGAAAATATCCAAAGTGCAGTGCTTTCTTATGATATTTTAGTGGTGTACAAGATAATTTTCTACCTAAAGTTCTATCTTTCTAGAACTATAAAATTCGTAGTTTAGTTTCAACGTTTATGAATATTAATATGATACATTTATGCTTCCTTTAGAAGATTGTTATTTCTTTCGAAACTCTAAACTTCTGGGCGAGAGTGTACACGCAGTTTTATCTTTTATACCGAGTTGTAGAAATAATTTTTTCATACGAAAATGATATACATACATATGTATTTTATTTTTCTGCAGAAGTTGTTGTAAAAGAATTTCTACTGTAAATACCCCGATGAATTGTAGAATCTAGATATAAGGCAGATACTTTTAAATATAAGATACTCAAAAAATTGGTAATGACTTATTTTAATCACCTCACCCTGTATGAATAATTTTATCTGGTATTTGTATTCTTTAGAGAGGAAAAATCCCAATGTTACAAAATCAGAGCCAATTATCAAAGTTTACTGAAGAAGAAAAAATTTCAAACCGAATGGCTTTGGACAAATTAACAACGATTAATTAACAACGATTTTCTCGATATTTGCGATTTTTTCTCGTGCAAGCATACGCCATGCAATAATGCCGCAAATATTTAAATCCAATCTCGCAAATTAATACAAAAACGTATAAAAGCGTATAACGACTAGCAAATACATGTAAAAGTGTTTTTGCAACGTGGAGAACGCGACGTCGAATTAAAAGCGCTTGTTGGAACAAAGCTCCGTGACGACAGAACTGTTTCCATGATTTCTTGTCCGATAACGTGAGACTAACGTTGATAATACAGTTGAAATAAGTAATGCAACTAGAACTTGGAATTGAGGCCACCGACAGAAGAAGGATACTTAAGTTTATGAGCCCTCCTTCCTTATATAGTGTATATATTTATTGCATTTTCATTGCATGTTCAGTGATCATGTTTCTGATTCTTACGACCGTGATCTTACTCTCTTATGTGTTTCAAATAGTACAAATTTAGTATAGCAGTATATTTAGTTAACGAAAGATTCAGTTACTCCATTACGTGTTCCAAACAGTAAAAATTTAGTATAGTAGTAAATGCAGTTAACGAAAGGAACTAAATAAGAGAAATTATATTATTAACTCGTGCAAAAATATCTACTTAATTTTGTTCATTTTCGTACCTAATTTTTTAAATCTTTTATTTTACCAATATGAAATAAATAAACGATTCTTACGATTTCGTTAAATTAATTTTTTGAAAATTACAAGTAACATTCTGCTTCTATTCAATTGTAAAGGAAATTGGATTTAATTTCGTTACTTGTTTTTAAGTAACCAAAATCTGAAATTACATGCCTGAATTATTTTTGCAAAGTTTGAGAATAAAACTCGAAATTCATCACTTGAATCAATTAGAATTTCGTCGTACTTAATTTCACGATTTTACTGAACCGCGGAACTTTAAGATTATTGATACTTATTGAGAATACTTTCTTTAATCTTTAGATTGCAAAAGCTATTTGCATTTTGAGTTGTTCAAACTACTTGTTCACCAAAGTTACAGTAAACAGGTAAAAGCTTTTCTTCCAAGCGATTAAGTCGCCTGATCGATAACTACGGCTTTTATTAAAGTTACGAAGAACACGAGATAGTAAAATATTGTCAAAGCTTCATGCATATTAATTTTAAACTTTCATCTCTGTTTTTTTTTTTTTATTGCTCGAGTTTACTCTGAATATTCTAAGAAAATTAGAATCCCATGTATCAATTTAATATAGATTTCTTACGAAATATTATTCTATTTTGCAGCGTATAAGTACTAGTATGGAAATGAAATTCTGTAACATATTGTTTAGTTTTCTAGTAGCATTTTTGATATTTTTTATAATAAAATATACCGCCAGAGTTGCGGATGATATCCGATTTCAAGTCCCCTCTGATCTTTCTAAATTTCAACCGGCCCGAGCTGCTCACCTGTCGAGTCTAAAGACTCGCCCACGACATAAGCTTACCACTATCCTCGAGAGTCCAACCTAATCGGCTAACAATCCACCGTGGGCTTCGTGTATCAACCCTCTCGATACTGGTGATAAAGGCCGTACTTGTCATATCTGGCGCAGACAAGTCTGCTTCCGAGGAGATCCTTGCATACATCGGCTTGGGGATAGAATCAGAACTCGGGTACGTGGGGTCGTCACTCCCCAAAGGCCGAAGCCCCCCTGCGGAGTATAACCAACAGATGTTGGGGATGCAAACTACGAAAAGAAAGTGAATCAAATAAATGACAACAACTTTATATTGTTATAAAGTTTAACAGGAGAGAAGAACATTTGTATTATTTTTACTACTATCATTACTATCGGTCGACAGAGCAAGAATTTTCATCTACCTGTCTTTTCCTCGTCAACAAAGAACATTTATTTGAAAACTTGTTGATATTTAAAGACTTTTACGACGACGGAATAATAAGAGGGATCAGCAACTACTGATTTCGCGTTCACGTTATTGAAGAAAGTTCGTCGAAGATTATGAAGTACGTGATAGATTAATAGAAAGCGTGAAAAAAATCCGAAATAATCTTTGATATAAATTCAAAGAAGGATCAGAGATGTACGTTTCGTGAGTCGCACTCGAAGAGGGGAGATCTTGAGCGATCGATACAAAAGAAGAACACAGTTTTTCATGGTCTTGTATGCCAAACATTGCGTAACTCCATAAGATCTAAAAACGTTCAGTTATTGCATTAAATGTCGAAAAAAAATGTCAAAAAATAGATATTGAAAAAGAGGGAAAAGAGAGAAAGAGGAAAAGAAAAACTAAATCAATTTTCGCTTGAAATGCTATTATAACGCAAGTGACTTTTTGATTTGCTGGCGGAATATTTCTATCTATTTTTATCACATTTACGATGAACGATAAAAGAGAAAAAAGTATTCGTAATACCGAGACTGAGTCACATCGTTCTTTTTTTTCTTATAAACCTTACTCGACTATAATATACACGAACTGTAAAATAAATATAAAATCGCCAGATACCGTCTTCTCTTTTAATTTTTCCAACCTAACCATCAATCTATCCTTCGCATGTTGTTTCGCATTTCCTTTTAGCTGCATATACGAATGCAACTAATCGGGTTAACTTATTCACAGTGGAAATTATACGGCACGGAAGTTATCCCAACTCGCTAACTATTATATGTCTTTAAATGTCGTACCTAGATACGTATCGTGTCGTTATTCTATGGTAAACAAAATTCAATCCTTATTAGCTGAGAAAAGTCACAAAGTTAAAAACAACGTAATGCCATTTCCGATAAAGGCTTCTAAAAATTTTATTGATGTGAATCCGTTTATCTGACGACTGTGTTAATTGTGCTACGTTATAGTGACTGATCTACGAATCGAGATAAAATTTGATTGTTTAATGATGGAACGAAACATTTTATTTTCAATCAGTAAAATTTAATAATATAGCTTCTTTTGTTTTCTATAGCTTTATGGCTATATCTATTTCAACTAGAAGGGAATTCTTCTACGAAAATATTTACTAGAAAATTTCAATTGCTCATCAATTGTCAATCAATTCATCTAAAATATTTCCATGAAATTTCAAATTACAAAATATATTATAAAATTATAAAATTAATATTATAAAATTATAAAATTAATATTATAAAATTATAAAATTAATATTATAAAATTACAAAATATATTATATATTATAAAATTACTTTATTATTATAAAAGTAATATTATTATTATAAAAGTAAGATTTCCAAGATAATATTCCGCATAAATGCGATCAAATAGTGCAATATCGATATAAAAAGCGTGTGAATGGAATGGAAAGTCTCTTACCTTATAAAAGCAAAGTAAAGTATCTCATCTCATAATATTGGAATATTCAAGCACGGTTCATACTCGAGAACTATTACGTTGTACTTAATTCGGACAGTTCTTTCAGATTTGAAACAGCACTCACCCTTGTTTTTCCCGATCCAGTTGGACCAACAAGCATTAATCCGTGACGAACCACAATCGTTTCGTATAATTGGATAACTTTTTTCACGAACTCTGCAATCAGAAGTGCGGAATTTAATCATCATCTTCAAACACTTCGAATTATTCGATCAAGTAAAATTCCACTTAACGAATCAAACGTTCTTAAATTATCGTGCGAAAATACATTGTCTGTATTTTTGAAATTTAAACTTGGCGACTCTAAAGTTAACGAAATAAAACGATGTGATTTCAAGCGATCATAGTTAAGGTTTGTGGTTTTCCGCTAATTTTGAGAGCGTTTCATTAATTTTTAAGACTGTAAGGTCTCTAAATTTTAAGGACATAAGATCTTTAATCCCCGGATTGTTGTTAGATTTATTTATAATTCTTTTATGAAACATAAAGATATTTAACGATGCATACTGAACAGTGGAATGAGGTCAATGTTTACGCGCAACATAAAACCAAAATAATAAATCTGAAGTAAGGATTTTTCGTTTCACAATAGCAGTTCGCTCTCTTTTCTACCTAGTAGATCTTTAATCCCCTAAGTAGCTTATAGCTTATTGCAAAATATTGAAATGGTCTCCATCTTTTATCCAGCAATTTTATTTCTTTTCCCAGATTCCTTCACATTATCGAAGAAATTAAGACGTAATAAAATTCTCCGTATTCATCTATCGATTTCACGTAAAAATTTCAATATTTTCATGCTGATAAAAGTAGAGTATGTAAATTTTTATATACATATGGTATGGAAAGATATTTATACCCGTTTAAAGTTTTACGATAAGTAAATGATATACTTGTTTCAAAATTTAAAAAAGTGACAAAAAAATTTGTAAAGTGTTAAAAATTCCATTGTCAACGGTAAATACTGAATATTAAAAAGAAAAAAATATCCTAAAATTTTTAAACGGCAATGTGCGTGTTGTTATCTTTTATTATTCAAATATAGAACAAGTTTAAAGTTAAAAAATTGTTTTTTTTCGGAAATTGAGACTAATAAAGAATACGTAATCCGTGCGCAAAAATTTATTTGTTTTTCGGTATCGAACGGTACAATGTATGTATGTAATTTGTATGCATTTAGAATGCAACAACATATATTGCTTTTACGCTGCGTTACTCAGCAGAGTAAAAGCAGAAGAAGAACAATCTCTCACAATGAAATTTATATGCATGGTGAAGAATAAATAATGAGAGATCAGTCATTAGCACTGACGTATGAAGAAATTCACGGATACGTAATATACGTAAACGTATTAATAGTAGAATAAATCTACATTTATTATACGTATTATTAATAGTAGAATTTTAATAGTAAATACATATCTTTATTTAAATTAATTTCCTATTCCTTCCACCTTTTATGATTAAGAGAACATAATAATAATTAAGAAAATTAAATATATGTAATTAATTGTAAGCGGAAAATTATAATAATAATTAATACGGTGAAGAAATATAATAAAAGAAAATGTAGCTAATTATTATTAATGGGGCATGATGTAGCAATTAATAAAAGATGGAATTTTCAATAATTATAGACGCAAAATACGAATCAAAATTAATGAAACATATAATTAACGTACCATCAACTTCTTCTAGGTTGTTTTTCACAATGGCCGCACGAATCTCTGTTTCCAAAATGCCGTGGTCTACATATATCTCTTTCAAACGTGGAAATAAATCAGATACAATACCTAATTAAGCAAAAGAAATATGGAAACTGTGAAATTTGTAATTGCAGTAATTAACTTTTTTTTGAAATCATCGTATCAAGAACTTTTGAGTACTTTCGAAAAATACGTGAATTACCATTAAACAATGTCAGGTCATCTTTTAAAAACTTTGGAACGTTTACGTCTCTCAAAGCAAGTAAACAAATCTGTTGTTCAGTTAAATCCTTTTGTTCCCGTTTCAAATTTCCTGCCACAGCAATCACCGTTTTCACCGCTCGCATTCCAAAGTCATAATGATCCTTTAAATTAAGAAATACAATGATTATATAGAAGATTACAATGATTACATAGAAGATTGTCGTGAAATTAAATGTTTATCTTTTCAGATCGAATAAATTTGAACGTGCAGTTAATTCTTGAAACAATTAACTTTCTGATGCAAAAGGAGTTATTAATAAAATACGATCAAGTATAATTAACATTAAAACTGTTTAAAAAATTAATCAATTTATAATAATTTGTAATAATCAAATGGTAATGTATTAAATATTATCATTCTCAAAATTTTGTACCTGCGTGCTTAATTGTTCCGAGCTTAATTTAAAGGTTGTCGTTATTTTTCCAGCTAAGCTTTTCGCCTCGGAAAAACCGTATGAAAATAATGAAATTTCAGCGATTAGTGCGTAATCTGGTACCATCATAGCTACAGGACGGAACAAAGCTTTCAAGTTGTCTGGTAATTCAGTTCGACCTGCGTAACCGGGATTCATAGTGATGAATACTGCGCAGGATGGCTTCAACACAATTTCATCTCCTTCGAAGATGAATCTAAGAAAATGTCATTGTTATAACACTGAAATAATATAACATAATATGGTATATAGAAATCAAAGCCATTTGCAAATCATTTATTGAAAGCTTTACTAAATGAAATTCGTATTAATTACAGTTTCAACTCACTTATCCACCCTCATTTGCTGTGCTTGCTGGATCGTCATGATTTGCTGGGCTATTACAGACAATACCTCGATATCTATTCTGTTGAATTCATCAAAACACGCCCATGCACCTGCACTGAGGAGATTATTATCAGATAAAAACATTAGAATGCTAATTAAAATCAACTGATTAGTAATTACTTCAATACAATTACTTGAATACAATAAGAAACATATTGTCTTATTAATTACTTGAGTGTATAAAAATGAACATTTCTGTGAATTCATATTTTTTTGAAAATACATTTTTCTTTAGGAGAAAAAGGAAAGCTAGGTTCTTGCTGGAATTTGACGTTTTTAATTAAATTCATACGTGTGATTTAATAATTGATACTATGAGAAAAGGAAATTTAAATTTCGACTTTGCCCTTAAATACATTTTCAACTAAAATGAATTCTTAAAATTTTAACTTTTTGATAATAATATAGAAATATCGATTTACTGTCGAGCACAAACGTCTGTATTTCTAACACGCATAGAAAAAAGTACACGGAGGATAGAATGACACGAAAATACATTAATACAACAAAATGGGTAGAAAATTCAGAAACTCTCTTGTAGCATTGAAAAATTGAGAAGACAAATCAAAGATCGTTAAGATTACCTAGCAAGACCTTTGAAGAACTTTCCCATCGACATAAAATCCAACTGATCGGAACAATTAAATACGACACATTGTATGGCGAATGCTTTCGCGAGGTCCTTTGTGGTTTCCGTTTTACCAGTGCCTGCGGGGCCAGCCGGTGCACCACCGAATTTCAAATGTAAAGCTCCAGTTAATGTCAAATAGCATCGATCAGTCAATGGAGTTATGACGAGTCTTCCAGTATTTCCCAAATATTCGTATCTAAATAACAACAATTATTAGATCTTTATGCGATTTCATATTTTTATTTTTATAAATAATACAGTTATTTATGTTACTAAATATTCGATATTTTATATATCGCCTATTTGCCTATTATGTTTATTTTCTGTATTTCTTCTAAATTTCCCATAAATACATAAAAATCTATAGTCTAATAATTACAATTTGAGATAATAGAGAGTTTACATGTACTTATCTGCCTTAAATTTAAAAGAGAAAGAAGAACTTTTGAATTTTTATAGACATATAATAAATAATACAAGCATTGTCTACGTTTTAAATATAATTAACAGATTAAAATTCATAAAATGTTTAAAATAAATTCTTCTTTCCTTTTTATTAAAGTTTCTGTTTTATATTCACGTATGTAAACTTTCGTGATTAATTGTATTCAATATTTAAATAATATAGCACTAATAAATACCAATGTAAATATAATAAATAAAGATTTAAGCAATCAACCGTGATATAGTACGTGCACTGATTAATATATCATGGCAAACATGGCACAGTTTGATGAAAAATCAATATAAAAGAAAATGTAATTTAAAAATTTTTTAAATCGTATTTTATATTTCCGAGAATTGTATTTGTTTTAGAGAACGAGGAAGAGAGAGAAAGAAAATTGAAACTATTACAACGTGGAAACATATTAGTGTGACGTACCCATATGGAAATTCTGCATTCACAGCACGCACTTTCAAGTCGTCATTCACCCAGTAATACCGTAGCTGTGAGATCCAGTTAAAATCGTTTACGTTCGATACTTTTTCTTGCAACAATTTGTACAGCACGTCGCGCGCGTGCACCTCGATAGTAATTACTGCCTCCAACGTTAGTCTCTGAATTTCAGTTTGTGGACCTCGCACTAATTCACGTAAATCGTCCATCTGCGCGATAAATTATTAACACATTCATGATGAATAAAAATCCTAATTTCTATGCTTTGAAAGCATACTGAAAAAAACTTTTTCTAATGTGAAACATTTTGGGATGTAATAACATTTTGGATACATCGATACCTGAAACGTGAAAAGAGAAACATTTATTTCTCTTCGTTGTACGATTGGAAAATCAATTAAATCCCGATTTCAAACGCGTTAAATTAAAAAAAAATTTATTTTTTTTAATATATTTCTTGTTTCTGTAATTTTTTATGTTCAGTTTTCATAAAATAATATGAATTGATGCTATAAACTGCAGACTGTATACCACACGTTGTACACTTGTAATTTATTATATGGTTTTCTTTTACTCAAATTTTTCAGAAATTATGCTTATAATAGCGTTAGGAGATTCGAAAGAGTAAAATTTGTGAATGTGCTTAATAAAGAAAGTTTCCTTCGTCCAGATTGAACGATAAAAATTATGAAAGGGAAGTTCTATTTCCAAAGTTCGTGTAAATTACATTTTGTAGACGTTAGCAGTATCAGGGAACGATAAAATTTTTTTTTTTAAGATTATAATAAAAAAATTTTAATGTCGCTTCATAAGAGAAATTCTAAGGTATCTGAGGAAATTCTTAAAATTCATAAGACACAAAGAATATACTCTAAATGCAGCTAGATTAACTGATTTCATTTACAGCGTAATACTTTAATTTATGATTCTTATACCGGTTCATAGAACCATATCTTACATGTCCCAGCAACTCCTGGTAGTAGTTGGAGAGCGTTTTCGTAAGGATTCCATTTTCTACTTGTGCAGTCCAATATGCTTGACCACAGCAAAGTGCCACCTGCCCTGGCCACATGTATACCCATACTTTTCTTGGAATCTCTTTGACAACCGATAGAGCATCTTCGATCATTTTCCTAAGAGTATTTCGCATCACAGTCTCCAGGTCACCCAACCAATATTCGACGCTTCTCAATGGATACATCGGCGGATGAAGCATCACTTCTTCTCTCTCGGCAGAGTACATTCGGGTAATTTGCAGATCCTCTTCGAATCTCACTTCTTGAATGTTCTCGAAACACTTTCTCAGATGCGGTTGCACCGCTTGTACTTTCTTCGCTTGGGCAAGGATCTCCAGAAGTTCGTCGTCGCTAAGGAAATAGAATCGAGGGAAAATTTTTCGTTTCACTTCCACGTAATTCGATAGACCTTTTTGCACTACTTCCAGAAGACTTTGGCACTCTTGGAGGCTCTCGAGGAGACTTTGGTCCGGGCATATTTTCATAATCTGTCACGATATAGTATACTTAGCTTAAGTTTGGGAAAAAGGAAAGTTTGTGTTGATATTTTGAAATTGAAGCAAATATGTATAAAGTTGTGCAAGGATTATTGGAAGTTTTCGCGATTTTAGCTCATTTTGGATGAGGAAAAAGAAAGATAATATTTTAAAAGAATGAAAGATATAATTCTGAAAGAAAAAAAGAAAATAATATAGAAAAGTAATTGTAAGTACATAAAATACACTATTGGCTAAAGTTTAAGTACACTGTGTGTGAAATAGATAGATTTTCTAATATAGCACATACTTCTAATATCAATAGTGATATTCTTCTTTAGAATATTTTAGTACAGTTTGTGTACAGGAAATATATATGATTAAAAAATATACAGGAATTATCGTATAACGAAATACTGAATTAAATGTGAAATATAATTATAATAAAAACATATTCAAACTTTTAGCCAGTATTGTAGAAGGAAGAAGATTTATTAATAGTTTTGTATAGAAAATCATTTAAAGTTATCTGATATTTATCGAGATCATTCTAAAATCATTTGAGGATCATATGAAAATCACATATGAAGTCATATAAAAGAATATACATATGAAAATTAAAATTACGTAGGGATTCTCATAAGCATTCTTCATAATCCGTCTCCAGTTTCGCTCCATAGCATTGTACTTCCTAGTTTCCACTGGCAATTGAACGTTGATGTCCTCTGAAGTAAATATTGGCTCCAAGTACATCCAGTCTCTGTAATCCAGATTCTCGTTCTTAAACAAGCGATTAATCTTTTTGTCTTTGTCCGTACCTTTGCACTTCCATCCATAAGATCAATACCTCTTGCGTCAACTTTAATTTACGTTCCCACTCATTGATCTCGTCTTCGAAAACGGTTTTCAATGGGCTGAATGCAAGCTGTTGTACGCTGAGTATATGATTCTCTAGCAGCATTATAATTTCTTCCGTAACCTTTATTATATAAGTTCCTGCGTGGATATCAGTAAGATCAATTAAGATAAATTTTTATAAAAGTGTCATCTAATATGTGTGAGAATGTAAGATTTGTAGAAACAAGTTTAAGCTATAACTGAGCCATTTAAGATACTATGGATTTCAGACTATAGCTGTAGAATGAAGTCACGTAGAATCCATATGGACATATTCCGTACAATATCCACGTATTTTACATATTCATGTAGTCTACATATCCACATGTTTGTGTATTCTATGTGTCCACCTATCTAATACCCTTTACACTCTCTTAGAATGGTGTTTGTTAGATTAAGGATACGATTAAGGATACTGAATCGAAAAGAAAATAAATAAAGTACGTAGAATAGAATAACTTAGTAAAACCGCGTGAATTAATATAAATATTTTTAATTTAAGTCTAGTCTTAAATCTTTATTTTTAACTAAATGGTATTAATCTATTACGTCGGTTTGATTAGGAAAACGTTTTAAAACTTACATTACCAATTAAAAATTTAGATGTGTGTGTGTGTGTGTGTGTGTGTGCGTGCGTGCGTGCGCGTGCAATATATAAATTTTCTACTATCAGTACACACTTTCAAATAATTTCTTTGCTTTTAAGCACATTATGTATAGGAAATGAACGTATAGACAAAAAATATACAAGAATTAATATATAAATATTGAATTAAGTATGAAATATAAATACAACTTTTGGTCGATACTACATATGTAATAAAAGAAGAAATATTTACCAGTGGTTTTGTATGGCAGTAGCTCCAGAACAATCATTTCCCACTCTTCAATCATTTTATTCAATGTCCGTTCAGTGGCGTATTCTTTGGCTGCAATGTCAGCGACAATTTTCACTAATTCCTCAAATTCCTGGATACCAAGTATCAACAAGGATTTAAACGTTATGGCTGGTTTAAGAGCCATTTGTATTCCAGTTTGCGCGCTCAGTTGCTCGAAATGACGGTCTTTCATTCCCGGTTCTCGAAGAGCTTGTATGAGACTAATATAAGGCTTGAATTCGTCTATTTGCTCCTTTATTGCAATTGCTATTGCCTGTACCTCTGTTGAAAGAGAAATTACTGAAAATTTCCTAGTCGAAAGTATCTTTCTTTAAAACACAAGATATTTAAAAATAAAAAGAAATTTGTTGAAAATTCTAAACAAATACAAACTACTGACAATTCTTATCGTGAGGTTGACTTACTCGGAAATTCTTGGAACGTTCTGATCGCTCGGGTCATTACTCGATACATATCAGCAACCAGGATATCGATTTGACTGCCATCAACATTCATTAACGGATTGTCCATCCATATATCGTACCATTTAAGCCAGTCTGTTAATTGTGGCAAAATCGTATTGAATTAAAAACTATGAGAGATTACCATTAAATCTGAATAATGAATCTGAACTTTGTAAAAATAGAGAAAAAGATATCAACCACCAATTTATGGGAAAGCGAGTCTCATAAAAGTCGACGATTAAATCGATACAGTTCACTTCTTCACTTTAATTAACAAAATTCACTTTAATTAGTAAAATTAACTTTTTTAATTTCCATCTATTATTCTATAGTCACTGAGCAAATGATTATTAAAGATTGTAATTAAATCCTTGCCTGATGCAGTGAGCCACAAATTTCTGTATGGTTCAAAGTCTCTCATTAGTTTGTGTAAATGTTCGAAAGGCACCACTTTCATGCCGAATAGCTTTTGCCGTTCGTTAAGCAACAGACCCATTTCTCGACAGTCGACCATGGCTTTCCAAATTCTCTTCACATCGAGTGCAGTCTCGTGTATGCGAAGGATATCCGTTTGAAGAGCAATATTTGCCACATTGCTCACTAGAGTATCTATTTTCTCTTGCAGCAAAACTTCGTCCTGCAGCTGGATTTTATAGAACTTCTCCTGCTCTTCCACCAATCGTTCGTTCGTTTCTTTGACCTAGACAAAATTTTTAACTTGTTATTCATTTATGAGGAATTGCGCGATTATTGTATCGATTGAGAAGCAAATATTTAATTTAAGGAAGAAGCAATTTCTGAATTCTAAAATATTACTTTACAAGAATTTGTACGCGAATATTTTGAAAAATAAGAAAGTATAGTCTCTTGGAACGAATCAAATTTTTCTTAGTATTCCACGTTATACCTGGGAGAATATGTTCTAAAGCATTCTAAAGCATCAATATGAGCCTCTCGAGAGGAGACCTAGCGGTTGTTTGTGCTATGTGACACAGCATCAGTTAATAAATATGTGAAACTATCGAAAAATATTAAATTACAAATAACTATTATGTAAGATTATCAAAAAAAGTCGTTTAATATTACGCTAACATATATTTTTGTTAAAAAAAATATTAAACAGTAAAGAAATATTAAACTAAGAATCACTGACAATGGAAAGTGTTTTTGAAGAAGAGGTAAATGAAAGCACACTGTAAATGTAACAAAGCACAATTACAAATGTAACGATAATATCTTAATATTTGATCGGTGATACTTTGTTAACCTGAATAAAGATGAAGATAAACACAGAGACCGTGTAATTTGCCAATAAACAACTTTATCCAGCTCATTTAGAAAGCGTGTTTTCAAAATACATAGAATTGCGTATCATTCACTAGATTACGCGTTCGAAGTAAATTAATATTACGATCGTATTGATTACAAGTACAGTACATAGAAAGAAAAAAATTTATACGTAGTGTTATGAATATTATTTAAAATATCTCGTGATAAAGTGTATACTTTCTTCGCATAAAATTTATCATATTGACAATTAAGAAATATTAACACGATAGTATCGTCCTCGGTCATTTGATTTTTTTTTTACAAAAGAAGAATATTTTTAAGAAACGGTAAAGAATCGATCAGTTTATTCTCATCTGCTATGACATAACTGCGCAGCGCAGGCGTAAACCAAATAAGAAATTTTCCAGGAAACAACGAACAAATATACCATTATAAATCACAAAGCGTAAAGACTCATTTAAGTAGCGCCGTTATAGTTTACGGCTGTCGTAAATTAATGATTTGTAATCGCAGTTTCCTCGCTACGATATTGTAAAACAAGATCTATAATCTTAAAGTGATAGTTTTCATATTAATTTTGAGAATAATTTTCATTACAGATAAAAACGAGTCGTTACAATGCTTTGATTAAACACGAAAGTCAATTAATGATCGGAAAAGGAGTAAAGTCAAAGTTATTAGTCTTGCAAAAAAAAATATTACTATTTAATATTGTAATGAGATACGACTATCATGATTGCATTGAAACAAATTTAAAAATACATATCTATCTTGAATGAACATAATATACTTTTTATATACTTTTATATTATTGTAAGATTTATTGAAATCTGATATAGTTTCCTCCAGACTATCATTTGACTAAAAATGTAGAAAAGCTTGTACTAAAATGATGAAAACATCATATATGAAATATCAATCGATAGCCAATATATACTGAACGTGTTAGGTATTCACAATATACATACATATGTACATTGCATGGAAGATATATAGTACATGAGTGCATATGTGAATAGCAAATACCGTGTATATAAATATGTTAATGCACAGTAACAACAGCAACTGAGCCGAAATTTTAACATAAAACCTTCCGTGTTTCGAAAAGTCACGTATGATAGGAACATTTAAATATCGAAGATTTCTTGAATAATAAACAAACACATGTAACAACACATTTAAATATTTTTAAAATTCCCAACACATAGGTTGGATGCTTCTGAATATTCTATCTCCAATATTGATCCTATTTCTTTTCACTCTTTATTTACGTGAATTGTTGAATTTTTTATCATGCTCGAAATAGTTAATCATAAATTTTTAATCGGTCAATTTTCCACTATACACGAGTTATCCATGCTTCCACTAATACCTCTCTTTAGAGAATATGTACATAACGTAGATAACACTGATTAATGATACCTGTAGCGTTAGCATTCGTTTTAAACTAATGAATTATTATAGGATATCCTAGAAGATAGTTTATTTAATAACGTTTGTTTATAGAAGTACGAAAAAGTAATGCGCGATAAGAGATAATAATAAGCACAAAAATTATATCATTTAGCCTGATATCTTGTATGCCATCTTGTATGCTTTCAGTAAATAAAATGTACTGTAACATTTACTTTATTTACTTTCGAAATGTATTCAGAAGAAAAGATGTAAATTAAGAAAAATCACAATATATCTACATAGAACGATAAAAAGTTTTGCAACACTGTAACAAGATCTACAGACGAGAATAGATATATTTTTAAAGATAATGCGACGTTTCTGCAAAGTTAGTATTATTCTTCTTAAATACTTTACTACGTTCTAAGTTCTAAGTTGCCTTATTATTTTCAACTATATTATTGTAGACACCATGGAAATATTCCAAATTGATATTATGTTGACTCTGTACATAAAGTCTTAATTAAACATCTACTGCAATTTATTTATCAAATGTTTCATTATAAGCGCAAAGTAACTATACATTATATATACACATTCTACGGTTTATTTTTATTCCCAAGAATCTCGCGAGAGGATTAGAAAATGCGCAGGAAATATAGAAAATGAAAAAAAAAAAGAAAATTTTCTAATCTTCTAATCTATAAGTACAAAGACTTTCACCTGGTTATCAATTTGAAGAGGGGAACCGATCACTTCCCATTTCGCCTGGAAATCGTCGTCGGATATGTTCCAAAGGAAACTGTCAAGAACGTCGAAATCTAATTTCAATTTGTCCATTTTCTCTTCGAGGTTCTGAACTCGGAGTGGTATCGTTTCCATCCAGTCGCGTATCTCGAATATGTGCTCGATACTCTGCGGCACTTCTTTCAATCTGTACTGCATTTGCCTATATTCTTCTAATATATTATCCACTTCCGTTCGTAACTTTTCCGTGAACATAACTAGCAATCCTGTGGCGCATTCGCGCCGTTTCTGCATCAAAAAGTCCTTCAAAGGACGGACATTCACTATGAATGGTCCGATAGGAATCGTATTGGGCAAAGTCACTTCAAAATTTTGTTTCATTGTGATATGAAATGTAATTTCCTCTTTTATCTCCAGGGTGCTAAGCTCTTCCTGCTTGAACTTCCTAGAAAATACGAAATTTCATGTAGTTGATCATAATGAATCATCTGCGCTTTGTCGAAGGGGGATTAGAAAATTATTTGACGGGCGTCATACGCGAACTACTATCTTTTCTTTTTTTCAGTTGAAAAAGTGAGAATACGTTCGAGTGCGATTGCTCATTCAGCGTGAATATTAAATTTTTGGGATGCTTGGGAGTGATTATTCTCTCTTTCCGTATGAATATTTGGTTTTATCCAGTAAATTCGTTCTTTGCATTTCATTAAAAACAAGTAACGAAGAAGAATTAAAAAGTTAAAATAAAATTCGTGAAATTTTAATTAGATCGTTCGTTAATCTGATAATTGTTTGAATATTATAAAAAGATGTGCGTGTGTTATGTTACCTAAAATGAAGAAAATTTCATGAGGTGGAAAGAAATTACTGAAATTACTGGAATTCTAATTAAATTCCAATTCAAATGAATGTGATTTCCAATTAAATCTTTTATCGCTCGAAAGCACATTCTTGAAAATTAGTACTCTCATGCAACGATGCTAATAATCGTTTATGAAACGTACTATACTTGCATTATTACCAGACTACGGATTCTATGGAATGTAATTAAAAAAATAAGACCTAATTAAAAAATCTTTCTCTTATTGCGTATTACATTTATTGTACAACTTACAATTATTCCAAGCATGCATAAAAATCCGCAGTCTAGTCGTAACGTGAAATTTAAAAACTTCGTTTATCGACTCACTCGATGTATTTCAGGATGTCGAGATTGAAGAACGACTGGTATCGACTGTACTCCTTCGCATACGCTTTCAACGGTATCGTCGACTTTCGATAAGCTATTGTCAATCGATCACGAACCTTGCACACATTATCTTCAAGTAATCCGACGGAACTTAGAAAAACGTCTGCCGGGAACTTCAACTTCGGAAGTAGAAAAGGATGTACCTGTCTGATTTGGTGACAGGCGATCAGCGCATTATCATATAAAGTAATGATGCTCTCCTTGAAACAATTAAGATGTTCAATTAACTTAGAAAATTAAGAAATAATTAAGAATAATTAATTAAAATTAAGAAATAATTAACAAATATAATCAATATAATCAACTATTAATTTATATAGGTTTATATACATGTTAATATTTATATAGACCTATATCACTTAGGTATGTACATATATTTCCTTCATGTTTTAAAGATCTAAATACTTGATTTAGATATAAATATAAATATTTTATCGAATCAGGAAGAGGAAATCTTTTGAACGGTATAATGAAAGTGCACTCACTACAAATTTGTCTGGATTTGTTGTGTAATATGGTTTCTGTTCATCCATTTGAAGGTCAATAAGGAAGATGGGATTGGCAGCGGGTTTAAATTGGCTGTCAGTGAGATCATTTCCCCAGGAAAACGACTCTTCGACATCCAAGAGACACAACGCTGGACCCTCCAGAATGTCTCCGAACAACTTGATCGAATTTTTCACCAGAATCCTTAATGCATACTAATTACAGCAAAATATTGGATTATTTTGTAATAATGCATGTTTAATTTAATGTTACTTTTACGACATAAAGAATATTATACATGTTAGTAGCTAATAAAATAAATGTCACATTTCATCAATATTTTCTCATAATATTTTTCAATTTTAATCAAAAATTTTTATTCGTAATTTACAAAACATGATTATTTTTTTTTACGACCATAGTGTGATTCTCTGATCGATAGATAGTTGTTTAAAAAATTTGACGCAGAAGTAACATAGTAATCTTGACATTTTTTTAACAAACTGCTACTGATTCCACACTATGGTAATCACAATATATGTATAATTTCTTAATATCCTGTGCAAAAAGAACTTTGAATATTAAAAACACTAATTGTTTGTAAAGGAATATTAAAAAATGTATATACTTCCATGCCTTTCCTACTTACTTCACTAACATTAATTTAAAAAAAGAATCCATTCTACTTTCTTTATTACGCAACACATCCCTAGTAGTTGCCAAATAAATGTCCTACATCTTATTTTCTGTCAACACTCTTTAGCACAGTTTTCCATTACGTACCGTTACGTTAACATACGAAACGAGATTTCGTATGTTATCGAATTTCAAGATACAGAGGAAAATGTAATACCATGAACAGCCAGCATGAACATTACGTTTGTTAGTCAAAAAAAATTTTGACACGCGTAAAATGCGAATAAATTCATTCCTTTACCGCTTAATCACTCTCGTACAATTTTACTCTTAATGCGATTACCACATCGATGCGAAAGAGAAAAACGCAATCTAATTCTGCAATAAATCTCGGGCTAACATGTGTCAATGAAGAAGGAAAGCAAAGACATTTATTTCGCGTGACACGCACTCTTGTAAACCGAACGAAATTCTATTGATTGCTTGGTAAGTGTTCCATTTGTACAAAGTGTAGTAAATTTAGTTACAGAAAACAGATATAGTTACAAAAAAAATTAGAAAACAATATTGCAGAGCCTTTTAAACGACAACTTTCAAGCAGGAATACGTAAGTTCCATTTAAAAGACATAAATACTATAAATAATATAAATAATATAAATAATATAAATAATATAAATATAAATAAAAAATAAAATAATATAAATAATATAAAATAATATAAATTTTTAAAAAAGTAGAATTATTAATCATTTATTAAACACGAATTATTTAAAATTATTTCATATAACATGCAAGTTAGATTAAAACGTTTACTTCTTTTTCCTTCCTTTTAAAGAAAGAAAGCACCATACAATCTTATACAACTAAAATATGACTATCTATTTCGAATACAAGTACATATCTATAAAAATACGTACCTGCATACAAAGAGTGGTGAGATTCATCAGACGTTTTAACTTCATCACGTTATACACCTCGTGGTACTTTTGTTCAAGATTAAACCAACCTTTTCCAAGATCCCTCAAGCACATTCTGACTGATTGTGTAATTTTCTCCAACCATGGTTCTTTCAAATATTTAATAAGCGTAGTGGTTGCTTGGTTTTGTAAATCTTCGAACTCTGACAATTTTATTTGTTTCCCATAGGAAGTAGCGAATAAATTCATCGAGGATACAAGCATACATTCAGCCATGATACACGTCATAGCTTCGTACACTTCTTCGTGAACGTACAGTGTTGTCCAATGAGTGGATTCCCTTATTTTCTAAACAGATTAATATTATTATTTTTATTCTTATGAAATTGTGGATTCGAAAAATATGAATTTTCCAGTGATGAGTTTATAATTCAATAAGATATTGTGATATTAATTATCCACATAATATTAATCTATTATCACATTTAATCATTATTTTTAATCAATATCGTAAATAGTATAAAGATAAAATATCTGGATGCATTAGTTTTCCAAGAAAATTGTTAATTGACAACAATATTGAAATATCCAATTTTAAATGAAATTATTTTCTCGATTTGGTACAAATAAAGACCCAATAAAATTTGAAATCCAACAATAGTCAGAAATTTTGGTATCTAATTTGGTACTAAAGCAATTTTATTTACTTGTTAATAAAATACAAGACAATAATTAATTTTCTTCGAAACTTTTGTGCAAATTTATTCGTGGAAATATATGCTTAGTTCGATATGAAACATAAAATGAATTCGATAAAACAAAGTTTTCGCAAAAACATGATTATCGGGAACAAATATTACCAGAAAGTTTTTCATGCCTGTATCGATCTTGCTTTTTTCTGGCACTTTCGTGGGCTCAACGAAATCAGGCACCCACATGATGAATTTAAACATTTCTGGATTTCGTTGTATCATCTGCCTCCACATGAGGTCGCACATCGTGCGTTGATAATCCAGGCAGATTTCTTCCATCAGCTAAAAACAAGTGACAGTCAGAATATTCCCGAAAACGAAATAAAGAGAATATGAAAATATCAAATCGGTTGAAAGATAATGAATCACGGATTTTTTCTTTTTATGGTTACGCAAATTTTTTGCAAAATCAAATATTGGTTTCAAAATACTGATATGATTGTAACTTGATAGCTCTAGTATTATATAATATCATCTCCTTGGTCTATAGTTTGTAATTACATGTACCAAATTATATAATGTCATGTTAATAGAAATTTATTTTATTAGATTGGTATCAATAAAAATTTATCAAAAAATTTATCAATCAATTTCAAATCTATTGGAAAATCTGTTGGATATTTATTCCATTGAATATTTGGTATATAAAGCTTTGCAAAACCTTTTACGTACCAGTATTACATGCCTATGTTTTAAACTGAAAGTATTCCCAGCTAAACGGATAATAGTTTCTTTTTCTTTTTCATTCAACGTTTGCATGCCTTCCATTCGCATACAGTCCAAATAAAAATTGTACCTACGCAAATATTCTTGATAATATTAAAAGTATTCATTAATTATATTCTGAGAAATTAAACAATACTTCTGTTATAATTAGATTACTGATTTTTATGCATTTGTAGGAAATTTAAAATTACAAAAAACGCGCAATATATAAAAATGTACCAAGTGTATAGATTATAATATTTATTATAATATTATTAATATTTATTATAATATTAAGCGGATGAAATAAATTTTAGGTTTCATTTGTTTAACATCAAAACTACCAGAGAGATTAAAATGACTAATTCGCAATTTTTCATAGAAATTTTATAATTTCAATAATAATACTTTAATAATTTTCATGTCTACTAATTTTAATAACTTTTCGTAAAATATATAAATAAAATTATGTGTTCTTTATTTTTCCCTATTCCTTGCGCATTTATTCTTCTCGTAGAAGTTTTTTATTCTTTAGTCCTTATTAAATTAATTAAATTTGCATGAAAATCTGCAATCTATAATTTTTAATCACTTGTCACTCAATACTTTATAGAAGCTTCAGCAGTCCGTCTATGTTCAATGGCCACCTTCAATCTCTTTACGTAATTTCGAGGATCTTCCGCGAAGAATCGAATATAGATCCTCGGTATCTTAAATTTCCGCTTTCTACCATCAAGCGTGAGCACGCTCCACAATTTCTTCTCGTGGTTGTAGTGAGTAATGGCAGCGTTAGTCCAAGTGAACAAGTTGTTCAACTGATTATCCTCGAGAGAAAACATCTCATCCTCGGATCGGAATCTTGGAACGAAAACGGTGGCTGGTAGTGGATAATGCTTTCCATCGATAACACCGAGATTTATCCAATCTTCTGCCGTCCTGCAATTATATTTTGTTTTCTTTTTTGTTTTTCTTAGCGTTCTTAAAATTAAAAACTTTTAATTGGATTTATTTAATAAAAATATAAAAATATACAAATAACTGTAGCATCAAATTTTTTTAAATCATGTACCTGCAATCGTATTCCTCGTCGTCAAAAATTTCCAGAGGAAGAAAGTGTACCGTGCTGAATAAATCATATATCTCTCCGAACGTTAACAATGGCAACACGGCAGACGGAGGTAACATTTCTTTTGGTGAAATACCTATTTCTTCCAAAGCATTTTCGATTTTCAAATTTCTGTACAATCTGCGTCGCCTCTCCATTTCGACGTTCCGTGGAATTTTTTTGGGCTCTACGTTTAGTTGCATTTGCACTTTTGGAACAAATGTCGCCGCTGGAAACGACTGTTTTGCAAATATTTGTTCAGTTATTTACCTTCTTTATGAACCGTGTATGTTTTGTAGACTTTAAAAATCAGAATAAAAAACACAGGAATCTAAATAAAAAATAAAAAAAAAAATGTATTCACGGAAATTAATCCTTTCACTTTAAATGTTTCACTTTATCATTGCTGCAGCCTTCACTTTTAGAAATAATACCAGGAAAACAAAATTATTTCGATGGAAAATGTCAATAACGATTTCATAAAAATGTGAAGTGCTGTGCACAGGAAAATGTGAGTTTTTATCAACAAGCTTTATGCTTCGCATACACTATCTTTCATAAATAATAAATAATATTTAAGGAATTGGTGCCATTCGATTAAACAATCAACTTTTACATTGGGAGAATATTTCTCTACTGTAAATCTATTATTTCTTGCAATAATTGAGTTCAAATTAAAACTAAAGTTCCAAGTTGTATATTATCGAATTAACACTTCGTAAAATTTATAGAAATTTTTAGAATGCATTAATACGTTAATGTTCTTATTTTAATCGCTCTGAAATCCCAATATATAGAACACATATACTTAAAGTCACTTAAATGTTCATCCACTTTATCTTTATTTATATTAATCAATATTATCTATTGTTTTTATTAATATCTTAGTAGACGTCTCTTTAAAGTCTATGAAAAATAAACTGAATAAAATTAATACTATATCTTCATTTTATATGTATATACTTGTGTGATATTAATATACGCAGCTTAAGATAAGATCACAGAACAAAGTTAGATTAAAGAATCTCATTTGAAATGTATATTTTATTTAGACGTCTCCAAATATTTATGAACGATAGTATAAATCTTTCGAGAAACATTTCAAGACTTATTTCTTAAAGGAAGTTTCAATTTCTTAATGCGTGCAGGATCGAATGGATTTATTCTCGTGTTATCTCGCTTCGATAATTCATTATTTTGAGCTTTGTAATTCACTCTAGCAGTTTTTGTTACTCACAATTGATCGATCTTCCGGAAAGCTCATCCATCGTTTAGCTTCACCGAGGAAATTGTACATTTCTTGATCCTGTAATTGTTTGACATGAGCGCTATGATGCTCGGTGGAAACTTGCCAGGCGAGTTTCGTTCTTCTTGGTACAGTTGTCAGAAGGGCAACTTCCGGTTTAACAGGATACTCTTGAGTGCCTGTACGCCACTCAGTTAGTTTCATCGAGATGAATTCATAAAAACAGAAAGCAAAGGAATTGATAAAAATTTTCTTGGTATTCTTCTTTAAAATTCTTTTCAGATTTCAAATAAACATTTTAGTTTAAATTCTAAAAGGAATTTTAAAGAAGAATGCAAAGAAACTTTCATCAATTGCAGGTGTAATTTTAGTTTTAGAATTACAGGAGTAGCTTGTCATTTAGTGGCCCAATTATTAAAGAAATTCATATTAGAGACATACATAGAAAGCTAAGCATTGATTAAGTGCTTTGAATTTTTTAAAATTCAGAAAATGGACTTAATTGTTTGCTACGAATAGCTCAATTAATCGATTGTTTAATTAACATACCCGTCACGATTTCCGAGTAATAACCTCTTTGTTTAATACTCTGTTCGTCCATAGTTATAACTTCGATGTACTGTATTTTACATTTAGAGATGAAATTACAACTTATATGCAGATTAATTATTCAAATATTAAGAAAGTAAAATGTATATTGTTGAATTGGCATTAAAAGTCATCAAATAGATAATTCACGATATCCTTAACATGATTTCAACGTGAAACTGTCGACTGTCTTATTCGTAAATGTTCAGACTAATTATTATTTTCGAGAAAGATACATTGGGTAGATCATCTTACACATTATATTAATTTATAATATATTATTTGTTAACAGTAAGCTAAAATCAAAATTGTTCTACTTATTAAATAACCTTCGTGATATTATTATCGTGGAAAGTTCAAATAAGTATTTTCTTAATGATTCTTTTTCTGTTTGTTCTTAATATAGATATAATATAAACTGTTATCTCTAAAATTATCATCTTTGTGAATAAAACTACTGTATCAATTGGAAATTAAATTGGAAACTAACATATCTACGGACGTATATGTAACTGTTGGCAATTGACTACAAGTTAATGATCGCATCTTATGGGAGTTCGTGTTCCATGTTCTGAAATATCGACAAGCGAAGAATCATTGATTTTTTAGCGCTCTCTACGCTTAAACAACGGTGAATTGAAGAACTATCAAGCAAAACGATCGAAGGGTTGATTATTCTGAATTTTTAAAACTCAAAGAACCTATCAGCGTGAATAAATTATATCAAAAGTTCAATATAATATGAGAGGAATTGAAGCAAAGAAGAAAGAACAACCCTCTCGTTTACAGATGATCATTGCAGAAGAAATAATTAATCCTACACTTTCTAAAATATTCTTGTACGAAAAATGTACACACAAATTCACACACTCATTAACATTCACACACGGATTCAATATTTTCCACATACTTGCAAATTAGTTACCTATATGTCAAAACTACATGTTATTTATTTTCCATTAATTTAATGGAAACGTACATCTACACAAACACGAAATCGCAACCAATCAGGTCATATTAATTGTTATGTAATTATATAACAACTGTTTCAGTTAGAATTAATTGTTTAGCTATATAATGATGTAATTAGTAATTATATATCAAGTAATACTTATTGCCCAGTGGAGGTGCTGCAAATAAAGACCCACTCTTTGATGATTTTTATTCATTTTATTTATATAAATACATAAATATAATTCTAAAAAATGAAGTGAATGTTATATGAAGTCTTCTTCCGATGATTTCACAATCTGTTGTATTATATGAAGTCGTCTTCATATAACTTGTACCTGAACCAAATCTAAAAAACTGAAAACGATTAGTAAAATCTGTTTAGTAAAAATTACTACTTACAGTTGGATGAAACATCATTTTGATGTAACAATTTTTTCCTCTTAGTTACTTACTTCATATTCCATCTTTCTAAAACTTTAGTGTACATATCTCTGTATATTTTTTGTAACTAATACTCCCTACAAGTTAATGTATTTGAAACAAACATGTATTGGATTAGTATTATAATTAGTATTATAATAATACTAATATTTATAACTCATAATAATAATATATTATAAAAAAAAAACCTGCAATAAAAGTATATTACATATACACAAATTTAATTATCTTATAGAAAAAATTTCAAATTTTCATTATAATATTTAAATATTTTGTTGCAACACTTTTTATTTTATATATATGGCACATGAAATCATTTACATTTTCATATGTGTAAATTAATTAAATTTATAATAAAATTCTATTTTCTAAAACTTGTAACAAAGTTAGAGCTAATAAAAAAATATATATATTTTCTGTAATGAAAACATTACATTTTATTCTAGCAATATTTTCTGTAATGAACGTAGTAAGGGATGCTGAAAAAGAAAACTGAACACAGTAACCAGAAGGGCTACTAAAACACATTTTCAAAGAAAATGTAAAACAGTAGACAGAAGGGCTACTAAAAAACATTTCCAACTCAATACAATAACCAGAAGGGCTATTGTTAAATATGTGTTCAAAATGAACCCGAGCAATAAATCGTATCTTGTTTCGTAACACTAAGAGTAAAAGTAACATTAAGAAATCGCGATAAAATAATATCGTAATACTAACTCTAACCAAATTCAAAGAAAATTATTATTAACAATACAAAAGCTACTGTATGAACAAAAAACTACTTCAAATATTTCAACACTCTAAAATTAATTAAAAGCAATAACTCTACAATCTAATTCGAAACAATAGGAATCAAGATAAACTTTATTATAATATAACTCTAAAACAACTTCAAAAATTCATAATCAAAATTGTTAAATCGCGGTATCGTAATTCGCAACTCTACAGCAAACACGATTATCATTTCTTCGCAACTCTAGTTTAAACCGCAATCAATTTATCGCAACACCAATAAACAGGCGAGAAACTATATCGCAATTCTAATTCAACCCGTAATCAATTTCTCGCAACGCTAACAAGAAAGCTCGCGATTTGCTCAAAACTATGATGAACGATGATGGAGAAGAAAAAAAAATACAACTACAAATACTAAAAGAGCATAGTGACAAAGTAGTAACGAGAATGACTTCCCATGCTCTGGAATCATTTAAATGATTCAGAGAACGAGAAGCCATTTGTTGTGACCCTCTTCATGGCAGTTTGCCGGGCCTCTTCTTTCTTCGAGCGCAATGCCCGCTGAAACTTACATCTAGCTCGAGTCTTTCTAATCGCAAACCAAAAAATAAAGATGAAATGAAAAGATAAATCGCGGAAACTGAACCAAATACACATGGACGACCATCGACCAGTGATCGCTGTTCGTTCGCATGTGCGTGCTCGAGCAATACCTACGTAAACGTTCGTTTCGCCTACTCGCGACCTATCCGCGACCGCGACCGCGGTATTAAATTCGAAAAATCGAAGAGTAAAACCAGAAACAAATGACATGCTCCATTTGCACCAATTTCACTGTCGATTTCTCAAATTAGATTTCCTGAAACAGGTTGGACACGCGAAAGGGAGACACGCGACCAGAGACTGTGCCAACCTGCCCGGCCCTACCTACTTATAATTAAACACAGGCATACCAGAAAGTAAGCTACCTATCCTATTCAGGGCCCCTATATTTAAAAAAATGGCAAAAGACAGGCACACCAACACACTCACTCCACGGTTCTCACACATACCACTCGGGCGCAGAGACCTAAACTAGAGAGGACGTCCCGGGACGCCTCCGACACCCGAGTT